AGACCGACCATAAAAAGGCCGATTGTCCGAGATTGTCTGGTGGGGAATTGGTGGCGCGTGCGCCAGCCACCTTGAGGATTACTGATGGCCGCCAGGGCAAGGGGAAGGCTCCTACGGTGAAGAGTAGAGCGTTCCAATTGGCCAATGATGAGGCACGTGCAACACCAGATGTTGTTACTGGTATGTGACTTATCTCTATCTTTTATTGATTTTTGTTATGCTTATGTTGTTATGATTTTGTATAGGGGCCTTTTTGGTCAATGGATTGTCGGCTCATGTTCTTTTTGATTCGGGGGCTACCCGATCTTTGGTATCTCTTGCACTCAGCAAGAAATTTCGAGATGCTTCGGGGACTTTGGATTCCCCTCTTAAGGTGGAGATTGCGGATGACCGTACTGTGAGTGCTGCGAGGGTGTTCCAGAGATGTGTTCTGAACATGTTCAGCGAGAGGTTTCCGATCGACTTGGTACCGATCCCTTTGAGGGGATTAAAGGTAATCATCGGGATGGATTGGTTGGAATCCAATGGAGCCGTGATTGATTGTGAACGGTAATTGGTGAGGGTTCGAACCCTAAGTGGGGGGGGGGGGGATAGGTCGTTCATGGTGAGAGAGCCTCGCATGGGCCAACTCTCTGTTCAGCTGCGGGGGCTAGGAGGTTTCTCCAGCAGGGTTGTTCCGGGTTTTTGGCTTACGTTTCGGATTCACGGTTTGAGACCGCGACAGAGTTGAGTAGGGTACCCATCGTTCGAGATTTTCCCGATGTCTTTCCAGAGGAGTTGTCGGGAGTTCCTCCCAACAGGTAGGTTGAGTTCCAAATTGATTTGATTCCTGGTTCGGCTCCTATCGCCAAGGTGCCTTATCGCCTGGCACCGCATGAGATGCAGGAGTTGTCTACGCAGCTGCAGGAGCTGTTAGACAAGGGTTTTATTCGCCTGAGCAGTTCCCCGTGGGGAGCACCGATCCTATTCGTGAAAAAGAAGGATGGTTCGCACATGATGTGTATCAATTATCGGGAATTGAACAAGGTGACGGTAACGAAACCTTTACTCGCTTCTGAGGATCGATGACTTATTTAATCAGCTTCAGGGTGCATCTTGGTTCTCCAAGATTGATCTACGGTCAGGGTACCACCAGATGAGAATCAGGGATGAGGATGTGCAGAAGACGACCTTCAGAACTCGTTATGGTCATTATGAGTTCGTGGTGATGCCTTTCGGGCTCACCAATGCACCAACTGCGTTCATGGATCTCATGAACCGGGTTTGTAGGCCGGTGCTGGATCGGTATGTGATTGTTTTCATTGATGATATTCTGGTCTACTCCAAGACCAAGGAGCAGCATGAGCAACATTTGCGAGAGGTGTTGGAGACTTTGAGGAGGGAAAAGCTTTATGCCAAATTCTCCAAATGCGAGTTTTGGTTGCATGAGGTGTAGTGTTTAGGGCACATCATCAATCAGGGTGGTATATTTGTAGACCCGGCCAAGATCGAGGCTATGATGTGTTGGGAGGTTCCGAGGAATGCATCCGAGATTCTGAATTTCTTGGGTCTTTCGGGGTATTATCGGAGATTTATTCAAGACATTTCCAAGATTGCAATACCTTTGACCCGCCTGACCAAGAAGAATGTGACCTTTCGGTGGGGTTCAGATCATCAATTAGCGTTCGAGACCTTGAGACAAAAATTATGCGAGGCCCCGATTCTTGCGTTGCCTGAGGGATTGGATGATTTTGTGGTTTATTGCGACGCTTCTATTTCGGTTATGGGAGTTGTCCTTATGCAGAGAGGGAATGTAAATTGCTTACGTCTCGAGGCATTTGAATCCTCATGAGGCGAATTACCCCATGTATGATTTGGAATTCGGGGCGGTGGTGTTTTCCCTCAAGATTTGGAGGCACTATTTATACAGGGTCTGTCTTGTTGACTCTATATGCCCAAGAATCATTATGGAGTGATATTGTTAATAATATATGATCCTATAGGGTCACACATTTATCAAGTTGGCAAATTTTGTATATTTATTATTAATATGATTATTAATAAATAATATCGATTCTTGTATTTTAATTAGGGAATAATTATTGTTTTGTAAAAATAATAATTATAAGAGAATATAAGTAGTTATTATTTCATATGGTATGAATTAATAAGTCCATGCACAACATTTTGGACTAGTTGGATTCCTTTTGTCTTTTACCTAAAGACAAAGTTTATATTTTATAAACTTAGAGTTTATAAAAAGAGGCATGGCCAAAACTATTAAACACATACAGAGGTTGCTTTTCCAACCTCCAGGCTTTGTCTCCCCATGTCTCTAAAGGCTACAAATACTTTAGAGTATTTTATTATACAGCCCATACTTTATATTTAATTAATATAAAGGCATGTCTTGTATGGTAGTATATAAAGGAGAGTAAGTGGCTTGCTAGTTTTTGGTGAAATCTCTCCATTTCTTCTCGTGGCCGAAATCACCTCTCTCTCTCTCCCTCTCTCTCTCTCTCTCTCTCTCTCTCTCTCTCTCCCTATTCTTGTTGTCTTTTGAAGATTGTTGCAAGATTAGAAGCCCTTTTGAGTTGGACTCCTTTAGTGCTAATTTGAGTTAAGCACTTAAAGTCTTAAGACACTCAAAAATACAAGAATGAACTAGCATTCCAAGTGCCTTACTCTTGATGGTGGATACTTGTAGAGAAGATCATATTCTTTGATATCTTCATTTTCATCAACACCCCAAAACCAAGTGGGTTTAAAGTCTTCGAAGGTTATCTCTTAAACATCCTATGGTTGTTTTTATTTCATTCTAACCTCTATAAATGAATCCATGATGGTTTGGTTTTGTTATGAACTAAAAATAAACTTGTTATTTTTAAAGTCTTCCATTGCCAGTTTTTGTGAAAAACAAACTTATATTTCATATCAAAACCCAACAGTGGTATCAGAGTCATCTTTTATATGTTAGAATGATTTTTTTATGTTTGATAATATTTGGTTTTTGGATGATTGTGATGTTTATTTTATGTTAAATATATGTTATGTTTTATGTATAAAAATGGTTTTTAGAAGTCAAATAACATATTTTCATAAGGATAATATCACTTGGAGTTTGAGTAAAAAATATTTAAAAGATAACATAAGATGTTTATAAATAGATATTTATAAAAACGTTTTACCGGTTACCGGTTAAAACTCAATTTTTTGTTGAAAATAGTTTTATTGTAAAACTTATAAATACCCAACTTTAAAATATTTGAAATGGTTTAAAAGATGTTTAAACATCATATCAACTCCATGTCTTTATAATAAATAAATTTTTTTTGTTAAATATACTAAAATCGGTTTATAGCGTTATAACGACAAATAATGAAACTACTGATTATTTTTGCGTCGAAACTTAATATATGATATTGGTGTTTTAAACATAATACAACATGTTGATATTATGTTTTATGCATGCTAAATGAGATTTAAAACATAAGTATCATCACCCAAGTTTTGGTTTATCAAAATATGACTTTTATCATAAGATGCATAAAATTGAATTTATAAAATAAAATGAGTTTATTCTACAAATTCATGAAGTCATAAGTTTTTTATTGTTAAAAGGAAGTTTAAAATAGTGATTTTATAACTCGTCCAAAACTCCAAGTCTTAAGTATAAAATAAAGTTTTATTAAGACTATTACCGGTTTTAAAACCGATCTACGACTAAGCTTTAAAATACTCGATTTTAGTTTATAATTGATCGCGGTTAATGAAAAATAAAATGAAATTTTATTTGGCACTAAAAGAACCTCATAGCAAGTGATATGAATTTTATAAAATGGTACATGAATTGTTGGATGCATGAATATTCATGACACATTGTTTTTATAAACTATAATTGTAAAACATATATAAAACTTTTTCTAAAAATGCAAGTCATTGCCGTCCTTTTGAAGAACACTCGTTATCATTTCAGGGTTTTAGTGTCACGTAGTCACCTGGGTCTAGGATTGGATTTTGATGTTCGGGGTAGTTTTGTAGTTTCTGGTTTCTAAAGGCTCACCTTGTTACTGGTTAGTTACAATGCTACAAGTTGTTTCAAGTAGGATGACTTGATCGGAATCTTATGTGATAAAGGTCACTTAAGCATGAGAGGTCTGAGGCATAGATGGGATAAACATGTCAAGCTAAGCACTAATTGTTTAGGGTCCCATAATCTTGGAGTTACATATCATATCCAATTGGTAATCGCTACCTACCGAGTTTGATTAAGTTTATGGGATAAAGGTCACCAAACCATTTACTTGTTTCGTTACTTGGATCCTAGACTTTAATAAATTAATGTTTTAAGAAACAATAAAAGATATTAATTTTTAAAGACTAAATATTGAAAATACTAAATGAAACTTTGTTAAGTTCTGTTGATAAATGTTAATAATTTTACACCCTGCAAAACCTCTCTTTTGTTGAGTTTCAAGAGATAGTAACATTTGATGGTTATAATTTCTATAACTGGTATAATATCTTGAGGTTCTATCTTTAAGATAATTGAAATTATATATATATATATATATATATATATATATATATATATATATATATATATATATATATATATATATATATATATAGAGCTAGGTTCAAATGTTTTTAGCAAGTATTGTGTGCCTAAATGCACCAATGAGAATTCAAAAAATAATAAACAATTAAATAAATCATTTAAGGGTATTCTGGACATTTTGTACTTTTTAATTAAGGAATCATTTAATTAAAATCCTGCAATTAAGGAAATAAAATCAATATTTTTGACCTAGTCTCTCTCTTGCATCGTGTATTATATTCAAGGAATCAATATTTCTCTGGTCCGGTAATCCACATACCCTTGTCCTCGGTTAGGGTTCTTTCCCCTTCCATCTCTAATTCTCAGTTATCCTTCAAACTCTTTGATTCTGATTTCAAGTTTAGGTATCTGATTTTGGATTCTGATTTCCAGAAACCAAACAACAATCAACACAACAGAAATGGTATATACACACACTCGATCGTCAATCGTTAATTGATATTTTCAAAGCTCGAAGATAAGTTCTTGATCGTTTTATTTCTCTTTCTGTTTTTGATTTCTCAGGAATCGGTAAGTTGTGAAGAGAAATTCTGCATTGATTGCAAAACCTCCAAAACACTGTTGTGGAGAAGCGGTCGTGCTGGTCGAAAGGTCCGATTAATTGATTCAATCTTTGATTTCAATTGTCCTTTATTCTTCAAATCACAATCTAATCAAGTTGCATAAACAATTTTGTTTTTGTTTCTGTTTTTGTTACACAGTCGCTGTGCAATGCTTGTGGAATTAGGTACAGGAAGAAGAGGAGTCCGAATGGATCAGATAAGAGAATCGAGAAACAAGCTCCGTTTTCACCGTCGTCTTCAAGTTCATTCTCTTGTTCGACTAGCGCCACCTTGTACTCCGATGAAGATGTTGGGATGAGGAAGCAGTTGAGGATAAAGGTGGTGGCGGTCAGAAAAGAGGTGGTGGTGTTGCATCCATGGCCAACAGGTGATCTTCTTCTTCATCTTATTTTGATTTGAATCCATGTAAATTTGGATGTTTGGGTTTTCCTGAAAAAATTTATGATAATGGATGGGATATAACTCATGGTTGTTTGGGTTTGTTTCTTGAATTCAAGAAACTGAATTGGTAAGACTCTCACTAATTTTTTTTTGAAGAAACTGAAGAAGCACACCACGTGTTTGATAAAATGCATAGTTGAAATCTAGGTATTTGTAACCGGAAAACAAAAGATTATTTACCTCAATCCTGAAAATAGATTTTACATCCAATTGTTTTTTGATTTTGAAAATAGATTTTACAAATACAAATGCATCTTACATGTATTTTTTTTTTGTGTTTCTATATGTGTATGCTTTTGTAAATGCCCAAAATGAGACTAGATGAGCGTGAAGGTACATCTGATATAAACTACATCTTTATAGTTATTAATTCAAGATACATATTTGTGTTAACATGATCTTTTCCTGCATTTATATTTCAAATGTTTTGTTCGTTGGGTATATTCTTGATAATACAAATTCTTTAAGAATATTCAAAACCATTCTGCAAGAATAATTTATTCTGTAAGAATATTATTGCTGTATTCTGATAGAATTGTAGTTAATTAGTTATATGTTTAATGTGCAGTTGTTACAAGTGTATCACTACAAAATATTCAGCAATGAATTTGTGATAGAATGGCTTGAAGACCTGATGGGAAGGCTCCTTGTATAAAATCATTCTCATGCAATACAATTCTGACAGAATTTCAATCTCACAAAATGTCAATCTCATACAATGCTAGCATATTTTGAAGTGGCTTAGAGGTCAAACATATACAAGACATATAGAAACGAAACAAGAAAGTGAATGAGGATTCTTTCAAGAATGTCGATATTTTTTTTGCAAGAGATTTCAAGAATGAATGTAGTTTATGTTCATAGTTGAATTCGTTAAGAATAAATTTAATTACTTATTCTAGATTATGTATGAATTTGTATTTAAGTTCGGATGTATAAGAATATATTAGAATGTTTGTTATTTTTCAACATCTGATTCAAGAATTTTGTTTTTCTTCAATGATATTCTATTAGAGTAAAATTCTGAAAGAACATCATTCTAACAAAATAATATTCTATTAGAATAAAATTCTGAAAGAGCATCATTCTAACAAAAAATATTCTGACAGAATATAATCGGTAAAAATTGAAATTGAATTAATTAAAAAATTCAGATTTTTTTAAATTAGGAGAATTAATCATCCCTAAAAATCCGAAAATTTCCTTTTATAAATGTAGTTAATTGTCCAAAATACCCTTTTGCTAAAAATTGTGTGATTATATGGTACATGTTACCCCATTGTAATATCATACACTCTCAAATCATGTCTATTGATTAATTTCATCCGTTGGTCCAGATCTGTGCATTCTGGCACACAATACTTAGTAAAAACAAAATAGCATAAGCCTATATATATATATATATATATATATATATATATATATATATATATATATATATATATATATATATATATATATATATATAATGAAAGATACCATACCTGAATAACCTCCACAAGCAGTCAGTCTGATCGTGATACTTTGATGGAAGTATTATTGTGATGATATTGACGTGTCTCACATCATACTGGAGAAAAAAACCTTGACTTGCAGAAAGTCTTGGATAATTATGAAAAATATCAGATGTCTCATCAAGTAAAGCAAATATTCAATCAAAACACTAGAAATAGCTTCAAGTCTGTTCAAGCATTGAATAAAAGGAAGTCTAAGAGAGTGTGCACTCATATATACTTATAGTTCAATTAAGGGAAATACAACATAAACCCAGAAATCAAGAAAGGACCAAATGATTAGTGTTTTTTCTTTTGTGGAAGAAACTGGACACTAAAAGAGGAATTGCTCCTCTAATCTAATCGAGCAGAAAAAGTCTGACTTGGACAAGACTCCAGATATCTATATGATAGAACTATTTATTTTTCCATCATTCACTTTAGTATGTTATACTTAAAGTGACACTAATAATTGATATTATGTGTTGATGATTGGAAGAAATAATCAACTGATTACAAACGAATGACATTTCATGTTAAAGATATAACAAGTGTTGTTATAGTCTTTTATTTAAACAATAGATGTTTTGTACCTATTTTTATAGGAACATACGGTTGTATATTTATGAATAAATTTAGATTTACTTATCGTTTAATGGATGTTCACATTCATGTTCGGAAATGATGTATTAAAGAATATTTTCTCATAATGTTTTTATGAAGTAAATCTGTAATCTTTCATTAAATTAATACTTCTGATCATAACACATATATAATCAAATGATATTTGATTGGAACTTATCTATGTCATATTCATCATGACAATATAAATAAGAAATACATATACCAACTTCAAAAGGATGGAATTTTTTGAAGGCAAATGACCTTGATTCATTTGATATATGAGAATCATATTTATATGGGAAGATGATTCACAAGTGTCTTTATCTATTAGTAGTTAAAGAACAAAAGGCTTGACAAAGAGTTATACATAAGTGATGTATGTAATCTTTTTCAATCCATGAATAGATTTGGTGATAGTTGTTTATTCAGTTTCACTGACGACTTTTATTCATTATTGTTGAAACCTTTGATTTGTTCAAATTATTTCATAGTGAAGATTGAAATACGACTTAATGAGACCAGCATTAAACTTTCGTTGTGATAAAGAAAATGAGTTTTGTAAACCAAGTCTTCTTGGAACATCTTAGTAGTTTTGGAATCGATTCACAACTTATTCCGAAAAAAACACTCACTCATCATTAGTATGTTTCTTGTGGCACATGATCACCTGGTCACTTGAATCTATCTATTGATATTCGAGGTAGCCTTCGTATTCTCTAGTGGGATAGGGTCACCTGACCACTGGTTGAATGTCGATAGTACAAGTTTTTGAAGAGGATAAGGATAGACCTTTCAGTCTATTATATGATGTTTTAAGAGAACTAATTACTTTATAAACTTTTAGAATTATGCTCACTGTAACAAATATATATTGAATATATATATATATATATATATATATATATATATATATATATATATATATCTTCCAACCAAGTAAGTGGATTAAATACTTTCATTAGACTAAGGATGTAATGGTTTGTCCTTATCTAAAAGGTATGGAGTTATAGAGCTTATGTTTAACAATAAGCTTAGCTACTCTAGCATCTACAAGTTGCATTTATGTAGACTATCCTAAATGATTGTTTAGGATGAAGTCTCTACTAACCCCACAAATTGTCATTCCATAAGACAAGTGATTAGAAAGTGCTTTTTCTAAGTGGGTGCAATTTGGAGATTTAAGAGCTAAAGATCCATAAGCTAAATGCATCATAGTTTGGAACTAGAAAAATTTTCAACTGTTGTTGAATCTGCTCAATAATTGATCAGAAACTATTAAAACACATTGAGATGCATTCATGTATGATTATCAAGCATAGACTTGATTAATCTTGCTCGATATATTCTGAATATAAAGAGTAAGTGGGTTTTTCAAAGGAGAAAACATGCATGAATAAAAATCTTTCCAAGAATTAAGTTAACATCTCAAAGTAAGAATCTTCTTTCTTATAAGTCAATTACATGGTGTGATTTAATTATGAATCTAGATGACTCTTGTGTTTTCTACAAAGCCAGTGGGAGCGCAGTAACATTCCTAATGTTATATGTAGTCGACATATTAATTCATGGAATAAGGATCTATATAGATAGATCATTGCAACTTAAAGGATTAAGTAAAATTACATTAATTGTCAAGGATCTTAAACGAGCTTAAGATAAAGGACTCTGAGAAAGTCATCTTGTCAAATACCACATGACGTGATTTTGAGCAAAATCCTAGTGCAAATGTTTTTAAACTAGATAATATGATTACATTCCATATGCTGTTGCAATTGGATTAATCATATATGTCATGGTTATGCATAAAGGCCAAATAAGTCGTATGCTTAGAGCATGTCGAATGATACCAGTATAATCCTAGAACAAGTCATTGTGTGACTTATAGGAATATTCTAAAGTGCTTGCGATAACTAGAGAAATATTCCTAATCTACGGAGTATTTGAAAGAAAGCTATGTTTAAAGTTGTTACACATGTGCTAAATTTTCAAATAGATTGAGATGACTCTGAGTCACAATCGGGCTGTCCAAACTACACGATATAGACTATGCATGGTGAAAAATATGAGTTGGGACATAGTAGGTATGCCGATGACGACGATAATAATGAATTTTTAATTTTGAATCGGGAATCCCAACAGATGCTCCCGATATAATAGAAATGGTTGAAGGAACTAAAGAGAATTTCTCAGACAACCCAGAGAAGTTCAAATTACTGTTGGAGGATGCTAAGAAGTCCCTTTACAAATGATGTCATAATTATACAAAGTAGTCTATATTGGTTCAACTTCTGAACTTGAAGAGTAAGTATGGGGCATCAAATAAGTTCTTTAATGAATTACTACCTTTGATAAGAGTATGTTACTTGAAGATAACGAAGTGGTTAAAAATAATTTTGAGGCAAAGAAAACACTAAAGGCAATGGCTTCAGGATATAAAAAGATACATGCTTGTATCATCGATTGCGTTTTATATAGGAATAACTATTCGGATTTGAATAAATATCCCATTTGTGAGTAATCAAGATGGAAGGTGGAAAACAGTCAAAAAAAGAGTACTCTAATATTCTAACTAAAGTATTGTGGTAATTCCCCATCATTCTGCGCATTCAACGACTCTTTAAACTAAAGAGCATTGCAAAGGGTCTAATATGGCACATGCCTAGTTATGGTAGGAAAGATAATGGTGTACTATGTCACCCGGAGGACACACCAGCACGGCGTAAGACAGATAACATGTTCCCTGAAATTGCTAATGCTGAAAGAAGTCTACGACTTGGCATTTCATCTGATGGGGTTGTGGTAAACAGAGGAAACAAACATCACAGTGTTTGGCCCATTTTAACTATCATTTATAAATTTCCATCGTGATTGTAAATGAAAAGGAAGTTCATGATGCTATCATTACTAATATCTGGTTCACCATGTAATGATATTGATGTTTATTTAGAACCTTTGTGTTAGGGGCAGGATCCTTGAATCATGCCTCAGGATCCTTATACATATCCCAGGATCCTGACTATTATCACTAATATTTATAACATTTGTAACGACTATATTTTCTTTATTTTTCTCACATGTGCAAAGTTAGTCAACACAAGACCCATTCTTAACGGATAGTCATCTCAATCAGGCAAAACACCCAGAATACCAAGTCAAATAACATTCATATGCTGATTCTGGAGGATCCCGGAATTATCGTACTTCTTGTTACTTTCACTAGACTATAAATAACAAATGTATCTAGCACACACCACACACGATTAACTCTACCATTACTCTTGTACTCGTATTACTTTAACATTCTTTGTAACGTCATATTAAAATCAATAAAACACATCAATGCAGGTGATTATTATTACCTCCCAAGGTTTTATGTCGGAGGTACTACAAAGGATCAAGGGATTTCCTTGTAACTCACTTGTCTCACTTTGAGTACCATTTGATACTTACATTACACTAACACCACAACCTCTCATACAATTTGGTCGA